TATATCCAAGAAAGACTTGCACATAACTTGTGTTTATTATAATTTCAAACTTTGGGCCAAATTGTATGGTAAAAGCTAAACTGGAGATTTAGATTTATCTAATAACTGATCAAATTTTTGCACTTTATTTGATTAACAACAATCAGAGGTAATGCATGTCCACCTTAAAAAACGAATGTATGACGTTCCCAACTGGCTTTTTACTCTTGGGAATGTTAACCGTTTCATGCCACAGCGGATGCTACGAGCTACTAATGTTCAATAATTATATTAAATCCGTTTCTGTTCCACTTTTCAAACCGCTCACGGTAATAGTTGCAGCAAGTTTAAAAATGTACCAAGGAGTGGATTGCGTGACTGGGTGCCAGACAGCCCGAGTGTTGATTGTTTGCTTTCGAAACTGTTTGCAGTTTGCAAAAGAGTGAGACAAACAGTGGAAAGTAGATGGGAGTCAACATTTAGATGTGTCCAGGAAGAAGTGAGATCAAATTTGTTTACAGTTATAGATTTTCCATTTGATGTGTGAAGACAGAGGAAAACAAAAACCTGTATGCATACCGAGTAACCGCAGTGTTTCAGTTCTGTTTTTTTTTATGTTGAGCACAACTTTCTGAACCACTCTGAAGTGATATGTGAGGATAAACCACTGTGAAAAAGCATTTGCCCCTTACAGACTTGATCAAGATTTTTTTTTTTTTTCTTTTCCGCACATCAACATTTTTTGGATCACCACATACTGTGCATGTTAATTTCCAGCAAAGATGAAGTGAGTAAAAATACAACATGCAGTATTCAAATGATGATTTTATGTTTCACAATTTCATCTATGTGAAACAGTAATTGTGCTAAAACTAATAAGGCCGTAAGGTTATGAAATGACTATTCTTGACTGTCTGGCAGGGGGCAAAATTTATGGTTCAATCAATGTGGGCAAATTGTCCTGGTTCTGCAGCAGCAAGTCAACCCAGAAGAATCACACTACTACTGTTACATTTGACTGCCAGTGAGATGGTCTTTCACCAACATGTTTTGTAATTTTCTTGCCAAATGCAACATGAAGAACACTTTTCAAAAGGTTTCACTGTCTTCTCATCACTCAACATATTATTTTCCCAAAAGCCAACGAGCCAATGATTTCGGAAACGTGAGACCAGTGTGCGATCAGAGTAGGAGGCTCATGGACTTCACCTATTTGTTTGTTTGTTCGCCTTTTTGTTTTTCTCTTTTCTTGAACTTCTTAACACAATGAGCATGACGTGTTGGGTTTTGTTTTTTAGATCTTTTATGCTACTGTATGTTGTCAGACCTTAACAAGAAAGTGATTATTTTTAAATACTAGAATAACTCGCCTCAACATGCAAACTGCTCAAACCATAGGATCATTCAAATGGCTTTTTAAAAAAAAAAAAAAAAAAACATTTTTTCACCAAAGAGAGTGAAGTTTCTGAATTTAAATACAAAGTCCTCCGGATATATTATGCATTTTTATTCAAGGAAACTGTTTTGAACGTGCTGCAAAAACAGAGTCCAGTGCAGCTGATGAGCCAAGAGTCATGGATGAATGGTTTAAATTAACAAATATTGTTCTCAACAGAGTCTCTCTTTTGTCAGCGTTTAGTGTGTTTCTTTCATTTCTTTCCTGTTGCATCACACATGCATGTAAAAACAGTTTCACACAAGGGAGACAAAAGGAACACCTTTTACGAAACTACCGTAATTCAACAGCATAAAACTTGTTACAAAAGTCAAATTAAAGGCTCCACTCCTTATCTTCAATGTGCCTCTAAGCCTGACAGCGTGCCGAGCCTTTATCCCCTCTTTGGACTTTAAAATCTCCATTTCTCCCCAAGCTTCGAGGGTGTGTGCTCTGACAGAATGTCAGGCAATTAAACAGTCATGGCTCATTGAGCCGGAGGTGGGTCTACTCCTCCAGGCTCCTCTATAAGCAACGGCAGAAATGAGTACTGCCACTTCCTGCCTTTCCTCGCGCGTTCTTTGACTCACCAACTTCACAGTAAATCCAGACAAGAAGTTCTTATCAAAGGACACTTTAAGCCATCGTCAAGTTCCACAAGGTTGAGCGGTGCCACCGTCGCGGGTAATTATCCTGTACCAGAATGTAAACGAGGACAGAAAGTGGGACAACAAAGAGGAGCTCTTGTGGGAAGACCTCAGATCTGCAGGGAGTGCTGCAGCATAAACACATAAATGCTGTCACGCTAATGAAGGCACGACAGAGCTGTTAGAGAAAGACTGACAACTTTTTTTTTTTTTTTTTTTCCCTTTTACACCTTTTTCTGCTGTACGCTGTGAAGGCAAGATAAATAAACACCAGGCAGTGGTGTCAGTTAGGATGTGTATTGAGAGGAAAAGCTGCCGGCAAAACCAAAGTTGCTGTGTTCTGGCATTTCTCAGGTGTAACAGGCCTGCAAACGGAGTCGGCTACAGTCTGTGTTTGAACTTCTCCCTCATTATTGGGTGGAAATAAAGAAATGAGCTCAAACCAAAGCTTCCTGTGGGAAAAGCGTGTGTCCTGTAGCACAGTGAGAAATGAGCGCCTACATTATAATTAGGCAAGGAAAAACATACCCATGCCATAATGTTTTCACACAGATGTTTCAACATTACTGGGATTTGCAGCTACTGACTGTAGCTACTAGCCGTAATTACCCCAAAGCTCTATTTTAAGTCACTGACATGTCTTCAAAAACTGGGGGGAAAAAAATAGTCTTTTGTTGAAATCTCAAGGTCATAATAAAAACAAAGCATATCCCTTTAAATCCTAAGGTTTTTTGTTCTTTTTGTCTTTGTATAATAAACAATAATACGATGCCATCTATCGTGTGTACTTTTGTGTAATTGAGGCTGGACCAACATTGTTTTAGAGTCTAGTAATCATTACCTCGTTATAGTTAAAACCAAAGAATTAATAGACAGTGTGTTTATTTTTTTGCCATCACTGCAGAATGAAAAAATAAAAATAAAAATGTGAAGTCAAACATTGGTCAAACTTGTGGGTTTACCCTGTGGAGTGGTCACCACTCCATTACAGGACCAGTATGCTTTTCAGTGTAATTTAATACATTAGCTTACCATGTTTTTATTTGATCTCAAAATGTTTAACTAATAAAACCAGCATAGGTTATTGTTATTTAATATAACACTATGTCAGCATTTCTAGTATCTGCCAGCTAAATTTTGCCAAAATGCAGCTGATTTTACTAAATGCTGTCTAATATTATTGCAATCTTTAATACGATGTAAAATATTCCCTTGATGTAAACATCCACTTTTTAATGCTTTATCATGTGTAAATAATCCTAAATTTATTAAGAACATAAATAGATCACTGTGAAAACCTTAAAGCAAAAGCAGAAATTACGTGGATTATATGAGCTTTTAGAATTATATGTCCAGATTTGGCCTAGATACAGTACAATGTTTCTTCTTACTGTAGGAATGCGAGCGAGGAACCACAGAAAAGGCAGAATAGCATCAGTAGGCAACTCACAAAAAAAAAATGTAAAGGAAATTTCTGCGTCAGTGGCAAGATACCTGTGACAAAAAAACCATCAACTGTTTTTGAATAAATAATGGCACAAACTAAATTAATAAAATGTATGCATTTTCATCCTGGCAAGAAGAAAGGACAGTTTTGTTTTACTGGGACATATATCGTTATCAGAGAACTGCTATTTAATAAGTCTCACAAAATGTCCGTATCATGATCCAAAATAAAAACGAATGCTTAAAAAATGGTCACAATCGGTGACAAAAAAAATGTCACATGCAACAATAAGCACCTGCTGCTTGGGTCGAAACATGAGGAAGTTATGATGATTGCAAATTGTTTTTGTGTTTGCTGGGGATCACTTGGTTGAAATTCATAGTCTCCCTTCGTTTTGACAGGGTAGATTATTTTTCACTGTACATAGATGCAAGAAGAAATTTATAGTGGGCATTTTATTTATCACAATATGTCGTAACATGTTTTCTGCTCATTCAGGCTGCAAGAGAGGGAGAGAGAGAGCAAGACTTTGAAAAGAAAACAAAAAGGCTGGAGCAGAGCGAAGTTGCTCTGTTGAGCATTCAACCTTTATAAGACGATGGATTCAGAATCGGCTGTAGCCTTTAGAAAGTCTCAGAGTTAGGGTAAGGATCTGCATTCTCTATGGAGAATATCAATTATATTCTGTATTTTAAAATAACTTCAAAATAATAGTAAAATAAAACTTACAATGCAGGCAGCAGGACTTATCTGCTGCTGCTGCGCATATAAACAACGAGTCGATATATAATAGCGACGTGAAGGTTTTAATCCTACGACAAATGAAGTTGCAGTTTTAAAACAAACCTAAGGTAAGGGCATGAAGCCAAACTCAGCTAAATGGAAAGTCATTTTCCTTTTCCCTTTGCACATGGTAAATACACCATTGGGAAATACTCTTTGTAGCATCACGTGGTCAGGACAGGGTGGATCAGGTTGGTTTGTTAATGTAATTTGTTGCTGTTGTAAACTTATTTAATGAAATTGGAATAGATGAATTTAAAACCTGATTTAATGTAATCTATGTAAATTACATTTAGCACTTAAGTTGCAGTGGGAAATATCCTGATTTGTTTCTCCAGGAGTTGACTTGGCTTGAGGGATGACAGGAGATTAAATTGGACTTCAGAAATAACCGCAGATGTGTCAAACAAGGTCTGTTTGTTTTGAAAGCTTAGATTAAGTGTCTTTTTATCAATATAGCTCATATAAAACATCTCATATGCAGGCATATGTGAGTCCAGTGAGATGAAAATATGACTGTGACAACAGATCATATTTATTATTGGCTGGATATACTGAAAATAGAGTTTGAAACTCTCAGAATTTGCTAAATAAAAAAGGCTATTTTCCCTTTCAGCCTTAAATCACAAAACAACGCCACACAACAACAGACCAAGCAAAAAAAAAAAAGAAAAAAAAAAGAGTAAGTACAACAAATATTGAATCTTACACTGAATTGCATCGTCCTCCAAACCATCCTCTGGTTTGCAGCAAAAAGGCAGAAACACAGAAAATCCTTATTAATTTAATTAGGTGTGGATGGAAGAATCAATTGATGAGCACAAACAGCTTCAAACAAAAAGGCTTCTTCTGCACAAGGGAGATCAAAAATGCTCTGGTAGTCAATCAAAATGAACAACAACATATAATTAACACTGCATCAAAGTATTTAATGTGTGCCAGTGTTACTTCAAAAATCCATAATTATTGTTAAAACAACAACTTTCCCAGATATGCAACCAATAAAAAACTTATCAAGAACATGGCACATTTTGTTTTGAGGATGCAATATAAAAAATATACCAATAATTTTGGTATTAAAAGCAGGTCCAAGGATTAAAATCGGGTCATTTATTTTTTCAAATACAGTGTCTTTTTTTTTTTTATCGTGTCATTAAAACCACACAATTTAATGAATTACATTGGGATTTCTTTTTATGAAAGATCACCACAAAACAGAGCATAATTGTGAAGTAGGGAAAAAAAGATACACAATTTTCAACATTTCTTATAAAGAAGTCATGGATTTGTATTTAGCCCCTTTTAATCTGATACCACTAAATAAAATCGCTACATAAAACCCATAACTTAATTGGCCTAAACCCTAATTCCAACCGTATTTTTCAAACCTCCTTCCAACTTTAGCGATAAATTTAAAACTTCAATAGAGTCCAGGAAGCAATCGGTTCTCCACAGTCAACAGCCCAGACCCTCTGCACGAGGACCAGGGTCTGGTTTTTACCAGTTGCCTGTTCTGTGGAGGGTTTTAAAGTGAAGTGATAAATCCACTTGTTCACTCAGTCCTATATCTTTACATCCTATTTCCTTGTTGTATTTGTTTTCTTATCTTGTTTTTATATCTGTTTTTAACTGGAGTTGTTTTTATCACGTTGTTAATGTTTAGTGATTTGTTTGAAAGTGCTTAAAATATGATTATGTTTGAAAATGACAAAAGTCAAAAGGGGGTTTGAAAACTTTAAGGCTCTGTGAATATCTACAGACACACAACAGTCCCTCCATATTGATTTCTGAAAGGAGTTGACAAAGTATGGCTCGAAATAAGCCTCAAGATGGGAGCTTTGTCAGAGCTAAATTGGACTCCAACCCTCGTGTTAACCTTTAACATGACTCAACATTTTAGATTTCAAGGTTACTTGAGATGGATTCTCCTGTAATAACATCAAGATGAACAAACACGGAGACAATCTGACTGGAAATAAAGGTTTGCTCTAGAGCAAGAAATATTTTGGTCAGCCTTGCAAAATCTATCCGTCACTGTTTATCCTTTTTCTCTTCTGTTTGCAAAGTACACAATCGCAAGAAGGGCACCGATCACATCCCACCCTTCGCCGCCCTCTCGGGGTAAAGCTGTTGGTTCGTTAACAAACAAAAATCGATAGATGGGGCTGAACAGAGGACAAGTGAAAAGAATTAATTTCCGGCTCCAGGGGTTTACGACGGCAAATCACCTGCTTTAATCAACAGCGTCGAGGCAGAAAGACGAATGATGTTTACGATGTTCTGGTCGAAAACGGCAGTGTTTCACCCCATGTCCTTACCAGTCTGTCCAGGCTTGTGCCAGCTGCAGTGGTGGGCGGCTCCTCCGGGTTGTAGGGCCTGAAGCGGGCGTTGAACACATCCGAAGTACCACGAGCAGACCTCGAGATTTCTGCAAGTTTCGGCTGGCCACAGCCTTGGAAAACCTGCAATTACAAACACACGGGCACACAGCTGGCAGCAGTCTGGATGGCTGTGGATGCTGAAAATAGGAGAAAACATGCAGCGTCTTTTTTTTTTTTTAAGTCTCCTGAATCATTCAGTCCGCACCACCAGAGTGACGGTGCTATGTGTCAAAGCTGAGGTAACCGCACTGATAAGTCAGGGAGTTAAAAGCTGTGGTCAATGCTATTTAAGCTGGAAGGGCTTCGTTTTTACAGGCTTTGGGGAAAACACCACAGATCTAGTTAAACCGTCAACAAAACTGCATCTGTTGAATGAGGCAGTCAACAGAGCGTTGAGCTCTGAATGGGAACTGGCATCTAAATCGGTGTAGGCAGAAAAAATATTCCTCACAACCACCTACATTTTTTCCCTTCCTAACTGCAGTTTTGCGGGCAAGGAGAAATGCAGTAAAACACAGGAAACACATTAAATACTGTTAGCTAAACTATGATTATCTGACCAATGTGAAACATGTAATTCAGAACCTAAATTGGCATAATTAGAATGTGTTGTACACACCTTAGACACAGTCCAGCATGACGAGCAAACTGCTTTTTTTTTTTTTTTTGTTAAGAAAATATGAGCGGACCTCATCAGAATGTGTACGGTGCAGCTTCCATTTTTCTGTGGAGTATATCTGACTTACCCTGAAAGAAACCTGGGCACTGTTATCTTGCATATTCATGATGGCCTCTGAAATCTTGACATCAATCGGATCCATGACAGATTCAATGTTGAAAGGCCCTTCGAGCCTCTGCGCCACCAGCAGCATGGCATCTGTCACAGTGGGAGCAAAAAAAAAAAAAAAAAACAGGTTAGAGGGATGAGACAAAGGGTGTGGACTGACACACATCTGATTAGTAATGGATGTGATAAAAGGATAGCTGTAATGGCACAGAGACAGTGTCTTGCAGGATCCCACAAATTTTAAGGTATTTCTATTGGAATTTTATGAAAAGTAGATGGTTTATGTAAAATGGAACAAGGTTATCAAATTATTTTGAAATAAAAATCCACCTTTTACTTTTTGGAGGCATCTCTACCAGTTTTGCACATACAGAGACTGAAATTGTTTTGCATTTTTCAAAGCAAGGCAGTAGAAGCTCAGCCAGATTAGATTTCGATTTTGTATTTGGGAACACAAGTCTTGCCACCACTGACATGGACAGGGTCATTTTAGCATATGAACAGCGTTCAGTCTAAACCATCTCACTGCAGCTCTGCCTGAAAGTTTAGGTTTGTTTCAGAGTGAGGATGGTGCATTCAGGGCGGTGTGCAGCAGCAGTAGCATACCAGCAGTCGTAGCGCTCTGCATGTAAACCAAACAGTTTAATTTTGGTCTTGCCTGAACAGGGCGCCTTCTTCCGAATGCCTGGTGCGTCCCCAACTTGTGGTTAAAACTTTAAACCAAATTCCTTACGACTTTGTGTCAACAAAAGTATTCATATAATAGCTCTCCTAGCCAGATTTGTTAGTAGCTTTGGTAATATTTGACCTGCAGAGCATCACAACTGAGCTTTGGATTTCTCTAGATCGTTCAAAATTCCTTATTTATGCTCTCCTTGCCGAGCCTTTTAGTGTAGGCGGACCACAGTAGATGCTCCATTAAATGTTTCAAGCTGGAGAAATTGTTTTTATTTCATCCAATTCTGCTTCAAACTTTCCAGAACCTCGCCCCTGATGTTTCTGCTACAATCCCTTTGTCTTCATGATGCTGCTTGCCATCCAGTTTTCTCCAATAACTCTCTGAGGCGTTCACAGAAAAACTGGATTTGTCCTGGATGGATAGTTTCTTATTGGCAAATTAAAGGACTTCCACAGGCAACTGGTTGAACTGAACCTCAGGGGAGAGGGGCAGAACTAAAATGCACAGCACATATGTCAGCTTTATTTATTTATTTTATTCTACATCATAGTTGTGAATTTCTCTGAGTTTGTCTATCACACGATGTCCTGTAACTTTGAAGATTTTTGGTTTTATCATGTGTAATATGGAAAATAAAATAAATGCAAATGAATACTTCTACAATTTAGCACAAGAGTATTAAGCAGTCCACTATCATGAGGGGAAAAAAAAACAACTATTCTAGAAAACGATGAGGAAAACGGTTTCATGTGGGTCCCCAAAGACAATGCTATCAGGGTGCGTCTCATCTCAGTTATGTAAATTGCCTTTCTCTTTATTTCTACAACCCTTGCATAATTAGTTGGATTTATTTTATGTGAATTTGTCCTGCCCCGATCTGAAAAGTGCTTTTCAAGCAGACCAAAGGTTACGGAATTGGTTAATAGGCTTTCTTTTTATTGTCTTCCCAAGCCTCTGGTGGGTTCTCAAGCTACAGATATGTTGAGCTCCACTATCTTACGCTGAAAAGAAAAAAAAAAAAACTGGAAAAAGTCTGCTTCTGCTCTTTTGTAGGAATTCTTTAAATACTTCAGTACTTTGCCAGCCCAGTTCGTGGTATACAGAACTATTCATGCATGGGTAAAACAAGCTATTGATCAAGATAAACACCACATATTCGGTTCAAGTTACTAAAACATGACCATTTGTCAGCCAAATGAATGGGTTTCATGTTTCCACTCTTCTTTGAATAAAGCTGGAAACATTTCTAACAGGTCTGCTGTCAAAATGTTGCTCTATTCAGATCCTTCAATTTTTCCTCTTCCCCCCCCCCTCCCCATCAACTGTGACTGTGTTCCTGCTAAAGTAAAAGCTTCCCGGCAACATAGCGGTGCCAACAACAAGTTTCACAGCAAAGATTATGTTCAGGGTGATATGCAGTGTGAATTTTCAACCAAACATAATATTTTACGTGCAAGCCAAAAAAAAGTTGTTTTGATCTCATTTTGTGGAAAACAGAACTTATTTTGGCTTTCTACCAGCAATGGTTTTCCGTTTACCATCCTCCCAATATAACAGTCATCTGGTTGAAGGATCTAAAATGTAAGGATTTGTTTGTTTGAACAGGTTTGAAGTTAGTACGTTCTTATAGCTGGGGGCAATTTCAAATAAACCAGTATGACAAACAGCCAAAAATGTTACTTCTCCTGTTCCCCCCTCAGTCATTACAATCATGACTGCTTTTGATGGAAATTGAATTTTTATGTAGATCCACTTGATCGAGTAAACAAACAGCAGAAAGTGCTGATGAGTTGTTGATTTAATAAAGAAAACAAAAAAGAAAAACCTGAAAGCCCAGCACATCTGCTGCAGGAAGGATAGAGGTTTATTAAATTGTCTGGCCAAAAGCCGGAAGGGCTTGTAAAACACACGGCTCTTCTCATTACCTCGCATTTCTTTCATGCATCATAAACGACGGCTTTAAAAAGCATGTTGCATTCAAAATCCTGAAAAAATGTGAACAGAATGGATTTCAAATTAGCTTGATTTTGCACAAGGTTAGCTGAGCGAGTTGCAATAAACAGAATTAAAGTGCTTTTAATCACCTATATATATATATATATATATATATATATATATATATATATATATATATATCTCGTAGGTAGTCTCTTGCCACAGCACAACAAGACCCAAATACTCCAAGGATTAACGTGAAATGTTCTCTATAGTGGCAGATCTGAGTTTGAAAGTCATGACTAGGGAACAAGACATCACCAAACCACCAACTCCCCACTGAGCAATTTCCAGATCTGGAAGCAGAGACATGTTTCTCTGTCCACAGACCTCCCAGGACAGGACCTCACCAGCAGGCTGTCATAATGACTAAAAATTACCTTGTAACTAAACAAGGTCATCCTGTCATTTGGACACTACGGAAACAATGACTTCTAACATGATGCCTCTGACTTCCTTGGCTGTTTATTTATTCTGCACACAAACCAAAAAAGGAGGCCAGTTCACTTAAAAAGTTTGCAACTTTAGTTACCCCACCCTTGTACACAAACAGATAGGATCTTAAAGCACTTTAATTAGAAAAAGAAAACAAGATAAGAAAGCAAGATCGTACAGAAAACAAAACAAGCAAGCAAACAAACAGAAAGAAACAGAAGGAGCTGTTCAAATTTTCATTTTTTTTCCCCAGGAACAGTAAATGTCAGATGAAAAGGGTTGAAAGAAAAAAAAAAAAAACACATTTGGCTCCGGCTCCATTTCTTTTCTAATTATGCTGAATTCAGAGCCTTTGAAAAAGCTCTTCTGTTTGTTTACACTGTGATTTGCAAACAGCCTGTGATACTTGCAAGGATCTTAATATGCCAATTACGTCAGTACTAATTGTGCGGCTTGCACTGCACCACAATTGTAAAGAAGCAATTTTCAAGAACAGTTAGGCAGACATCTGAATTAGACCATCAAATAAATTGCATTTCAGAATATATCAAGCACCAATTTGCAGTAGGTATGGTTACCCTGTACGAGGATGCACCAATATTTTTGAAAAAAATAATTGATTCCAAACTAAAGAAAAGATTAACGTATCATACATTCTCTAGTTAAGGTAAGGATGTTATGAAACTACAGTTAGAAAGCAGGGAGGAGCTGACAGCTCTGCTGAGCAAATATCAGGTTACACCCCCATGGGCAAATGTACAAAGCTGTTTCTGGATGCCAAATGTGTGCCAACCAAGCAAAAACTCAAGTGGCATCAGACTCCATTTAAACGAGGTACTATGCAATTAGTGGAAGGTCCACCCATATTTATGCAAAGTATAGATTGGTAAAAGTTGAGAGCTGTTCTTGTTTCACAGTTTCCACAAAAAAAAAAAAAAAAAAAAAAAAAAATGCTGGAATCTGCAGGTAACTTTCTAGCTTGAGAAGGAAAAGAGAAAAAGCAACCTCCTGCGCTGCTGTCTTTACATACTGTGCAAGATGGATGAGACGTGCTGTGGAATCTCTGCCTCGCTTGCTGTGGCGAGGGTGAGACGAAGGACCAAGGGGAGGCGAGGTAGAGTGGGAGGAAGAGGCAGGAAGTGAGTGTACAGCCAGCATCCCATGATATAAATCTAGACCCCTTTTTTTCCTTTATCAAGTTAAATTTTCGGAACGTAATTCTGCACAAGTGTTTTGGTTTCTAATACAATTGTCAGCTTGTAGAGTATAAAACAATCCGATAGTTTTTAACTTCGATCAATGCTTTTTATCTTGGAATTAATCGATTAAAGATGCGTCTTTCCACTGTCAACGATCTGCAGTGGCACATTAAATCCAACTTATTGATTTTTGAGACATCATTCTGACATGATTCCTCCATTACCATGCCTGGCAATCAAAAGAATTTCAAAAGGGAAAATATTTTTCACCATGCTGCATCACATGATAACCTAGTGAGTTTGTAGAAGAGAGGACAACTGGAAATCTTCTTGAGATGTGATGGTGTTTTAAATGAAGGCTGTCAGAATCTCTAATGACCCTCATGACCAAATAGCTGAGATGTTTCATTTGCCAATATGATATTTTTAACTCTTAAATGCACTGTGGTGTCAGAGCTCCGCGTTATAATTAAATTAACTTAAATTCATTATTGACACCTAGTTTTTAATTTTAGCTGATCATAACACACTGAAACAAGCAAGAAAAGAAATGTGTATTTTACAATCAAAGATGGTGAAAAAAATAAGAGGAAAGCTTTCCAAACTCTGGTGGCTTATCAGTAACTCAAAAGACAGATGAAACAACTCGGCTGAAGGAAAGCAGATAGGTCTCTCAGAAAGAAAAGACAAGGCGAAGAGAAAAGCAGGGGAATAAGAATAAGAGATGATTGGCTTGGCTGGTTCCCATGGGAGAGGTACTCCTGCATTGCATTCGAAAACTA